TGACAGAATTGCAGGGGTTGGAAGGGACATCAGCAGATGGAGTCCAACCCCCCTGTTAAAACAGTACCCTACAGTAAGTCACACAGGTGGGCATCCAGATGGGTCTTGAATATTTCCAGTAGGAGATTCCCGCACCTCTCTGGGCAGCCTGTGCCAGTGCTCTGTTACATTTACTGTAAAGAAGTTCTCCTGTACGTTAGCACAGAACTTCTTCCACTTGTAGGCCACTGCTCCTGGTCCTATCGCTGCACAGCACCTGGAAGAGCCTGGCCTCATCCATTTGCCTCCCACCTCCCTTTGGATGCCGTCCTGCTTTTATCAGAATTCCACCCACAGGAGGATGCAGTTAAGACTCAGCTGCTGGTGCCCATTTAACCTGAAGGACAGGCTGTACACAGAGACCAGAGACGGAGCCCTTTGCCCCACATCCCCTCGGGCCGCTGATGGCTCAATGCCCATCCCTGTGTGATGGGGCCATACCTGGGTGCTGTCCCCACAGCTCCGCTGCAGCCTGGCTGCTGGGCTTCCTGCAGGCACAGCATTTTGGAGTAAACAAGGGTGTTGAAAGAATGCCAGGCTCCAAAGGCAAACAAAAATGTTTTCCTTGGAGCTGCTGTGAATGTAAAGTCAATATTTCTCAGGCTGTCAGGTATTCTAGCGTAACCATGGAGCTGGAGAGCAAAGTGGTACAAAAGGAACGCAAAGACCACTCTGAAGGCCTTTGAAACATCCAAATAAGTGATAATTGTTGAGGCCTTGCAGCAGGTGAGAAATGTCTGCTGGCTGATAACACCTGCTATTTTTAACTACAAGTTGTTTATAATATACAAATTGAGTGGTGCAAAATAACCCAGTATTCTTTTCCCATTTCCCTGTGGAGAAGTGTCTGTGGCCCTCCCAGCCACACAGCCCAGGTGCTGCTGAGCAACACGGGCTGCTGCAGGCCCTGCCATGGTGACTCAGTGTGATCACACCTGATGGCCAAAGGCCAACGCCAAGCCACTGCCTCCTGCAGTCCTTCTCTCTGTTTTCTTTCCTTATGAGAACTGAAGTAGAATGCTGCTGTGGATGCACAGATCAGCAGTTAACATGAAACCAAGAGGAAGAAGGTGTTTCAGAAGGTGAACTAACTCTACATGCACTCCAGAATTTTTCAGCTTATCTTCTTGTCCCCCACTAATGAGATGCTGCTAACCCCTTTTATGTAAAAGCTGAGACTAAAATTTTGCAAGAAAGTTGGCTTGCTGTTATTTTCCAAGTATGTAGCATAGTCAAGAGGGAAAATGAAATTGCAATTTCCTTGTAATATGTCTGCAAACCATCAGCAGGCTTCCTCTATGAGCCCAAAGGGGCAGATCTGGTGACCACTCGATGGGTAAGAAACTGGTTGAACGGCTGCAGACAGAGGGTGGTTCTCAATGGCTCTGTGTCCAGGTGGAGGCCGGTAACGAGCGGCGTCCCCAGGGCTCTGTCTTGGGAGCGGTGCTCTGTAACATCTTCATCATGACAGCGATGGCGGAATCGAGGGCAGCCTCAGCCATTTGCTGACGACACACAGCTGAGTGGTGCAGTGGAAGGACATGCACCACTGGTGGAAGGAAGGGATGCCATTCAGAGGGACCTCGAGAGGCTGGAAAGGTGGGCAGGGGGAACCTGATGAGGTTCAACACGGCAAAGTGCAGAGTTTGGTACTCGGGCCAGAGGAATCGCAGGCATCCATACAGACTGGAAGGAGTGGTGCTTGAGAGCAGCCCTGCGGAGAAGGACCTGGGGGTCCTGATGGATGAAAAGATGAACATGAGCCAGCAGTGTGCTCTTGTGGATCGGAAGGCAAATGGTGTCCTGGGCTCCATCAGCAGAGGGGTGACCAGCAGGGACAGGGAGGTGATCGTCCCTCTCTGCTCTGCTCTCGTGAGGCCCCATCTGCAGCACTGCGTCCAGGGCTGGAGCCCCCAGTACAAGAAAGACAGGGAGCTGTTGGAGAGGGTCCAGAGGAGCCACAGAGATGAGCAGGGGGCTGCAGCACCTCCACTACAAAGACAGGCTGAGGGAGCTGGGCTTGTTCAGCATGGAGAAGAGAAGCTGCGGGGTGACCTCAGTGCAGCCTGCAGTGCCTAAAGGGAGCCTGCAGACAGGAGGGGAGTCAGCTCTTGGAAAGGGGAGATGGCAGCAGGACAAGGGGAAATGGTTTGGAGTTGAGGGAGGGCAGATGGAGGTTGGATGTCAGGGGAAGTTGTGTGCTGTGAGAGTGGTGAGGTGCTGGAACAGCTGCCCAGAGAGGCTGTGATGCCCCGTCCATCCCTGGAGGTGTTCAAGGCCAGGTTGGATGGGGCCCTGGGCAGCCTGGGCTGCTGTGAAATGGGGAGGTTGGTGGCCCTGCATGGCACAGGGGGGTTGGAGCTTCGTGATCCTTGAGGTCCCTTCCAAACCTGGCCATTCTGTGATTCTGTGATTCGAAAAGCACCTTGTTTCTACCTGTGTAAATGCAGAATTGCAGCTGTGCTCACTGCAGGGCTGTATCATTGTCACCAGAATGACCACTGGCCCTGTGCTCCTGGTGGAGACGTGGGGGAAAAGGGAACACAGCTCACTCACAGTTCTGACTAATTAAACCAACTCCTGTATCTTTATTTTCCATAATGCCTGCATGCTGCACTTTTGTGATGCATTTTACCTGTGATATTGTGTACCCTCCAGCAGGTGCTGCTGCACCCTGCCAGTGTTTCTGTGGATTAAAAGTCATTTGATGCACTGCTATACAACCATACTTTGCTCTTTGCTTGGCTCCAAAGGACACATGAGAGTGCCCTTATCCCTTTTCTCCTTGGTGACTTGCAAGCAGGGTGACAAAGAAGCAAAGTTTGCTCATCCCATAATACTGAAGCCTGCATGGCCTGTAGGAGAAAGGCTTGCAAGTCAGTGGAAGGTACTTATCAAGTAGCACCTTGTGTGCTTGGCAAGGTGCAGAAATGAAGGTGTGCTGCTATGAATTGTGAGATGAGAAATGTTAGCGCTCAATAATATATGAAATTGTTATTAAAGTTTTGTCTCTTGCTGGTGATTTAGAAGAGCTGTCTGTCATTGCTGTGTCTTTCCCTAAGTTACAGCTTGAACTTGGCATGCTAACACTGGATTAAAGGGCTCAGCGAGAAAAGCAGAAGAGGCAGGAGGTGTACGTTTGTTCTGTTCAGTGTGTCTGCTGTGCATGAGCAGCTTCTATGGCAGAAGAATTTTCAGTGACTCTCATTTAAGCACTTACTCCTTCCCTGTTACACAGAGTTCCCAAAGGGCTCTTCTCTGCAGTTCTGTTGCTCTGGATTGCTCTTCCTTCTCTTCCAGGTTGCCCAAGGAGGCTGTGGATGCCCCATCCCTGCAGGCATTCAAGGCCAGGCTGGATGTGGCTCTGGGCAGCCTGGGCTGCTGGTTGGCGACCTGCACACAGCAGGGGTTGGGACTGGAGGAGCGCTGTGGGCCTTTGAACCCAGGCCGTTCTGTGATTCTGTGATTCCTTCTGTTGCACAGTTTCACTTAACCCACTGTCAGCAGGCCCTTCTGTATTGGATAAGGGAACAGGATTTGTGTGTAGCAGGGTTCTCAGGGCTCCAGCTTCCTGCTGCAAGCTTTGCAAGAAGGGAATCCCAAACAATCCTCAACTAGGCAACATTTAGACAGAGTTTTGTAATAGTTCTGTCCGTAACGCTGCTAAGTTTGTTTTCAGTTAATATCAGGAATCCTTCAGTGCAACCAGAGTTTAACCTTTGTTTTAGCTGAAGCAGCACTTTCTGGCTATAAAGTGGCTAGAGGCATCTCAGCATAGGATGGTTACATCTGCCAGTTCCACTGATGTACTGAGCACTGTGACAGCAGTCATTTAAAGGAATGGTTGTAAAAGCTGCTGGAGGTTTGCAATCTGGATTGCCCAGCACGTGTTTCACAATCTCTTGTTTAGGACTTGTGCAGGCGTGAGCAGAAAGATCTCAGTAATGTCTGATATCCTTGCTGGTGGCCCCAGGAGGGAATTGAAATTTTGCTGTAGTGTTTTTCCTCACTGTTACAGTGATTAAACATCAATCTGGGTGTGATTTAGCACTTCTCAGATTATCTGAGAGCCTTAGCAGGTGAATCTCAGTTGAACAAGCTCAGTTATAATATTGCTTTTCATATTTAACTTTATTAGTGATTTTAAAAGTTCACTGTCAGAATAAGGCAATGAACAGCAGCCATAAATTTCAGGCATGCAGCAGCTGCTACTTGGTGGCATGCAGCATGGCGAGTTCCCTGGTGGTTCCATTTGGGGATGACTGGAGCTGTGATCTGTCCTCATAGGTACCTAGGACCACTCTGTGCTGCTTTAGCAATCCAACCTGCAGCTGCTTGGGAATTACATGAATAGTGAACCCCAGTCTCACTATGGTGGGCCAGGAGAATGTCCCCCTCTCTCTGTTTCAATTCAACTGGAATTAACCACACTTTGGAAGCTTGGCTCTATGTCATGCCAACGTGGAGATTCATAACATAAATGCAGTCATAAGTAATGTGACATTAAAGTTTGATGCTCAAGGACAATGCCTTTTTCTTTTTTTTTAATTTGTATTTTTTTATCACGATCCCTCATGGTTGACTGATAATGCTGTAAGTAACCACTGAAATGTTGCAGGCTGCTTCTACTGCTCAGACTGTTTTTCTGACTCTAGGCTTCTGTGTATTCAGAAGGTGAGCAACTGAGTAAGGCCTGCCTTTCTATCTCTTTACACAAGTGAAAGAATAAATATTTTTTTACCATAGCTTTCTAATATGGTTAGATGCTTCAGCTTTTTCTCCACTGTGCTTGACCAGAAAGAACAAAAGGTGATGATAATCCCTAAGACAGAGTTACCAGCAGCCGAATTGAAAAAGGAGTTAAAGTGAGACAACCTTATCTGTTACTTCAGTGGAAGCGTAGTTGTTGATTTAAAGCTTAGTAAATGATTGTTGGAGATCTGTTGTGTAGCAGAACACTCAATAAGCGTGGCACAGACCTTGCTTCCTCCTAAGGAACAGATATCTGTCAACATCTCACTTCAGCTTGCAGACTTCTAAGGTGCTAGAAGGAAGGTGAACTCACCAGGCAGTGGTCATGGCAGATCAGCGCGCTACTTACATTAACCAAAACATTAACAACACCAATAACTGTGTGATGCCAGGCTCTGAGGAAGACAAAGGAAATCATCTTTATGATCGCGTCCCGGAAGATCCAGCTTCTCCCTCTTCCACCACTACTATCCCGGAGATGATGGATCTCAGTCAAGATTGCAACGAGGGCAGCCGCAGCACTTCTGTGGCTTCTCAGCACGGGTCTGATGGGGAGAGTAGTTCTTCCTCTGAGCACAGTGCTGCAGATGAGCACCCGTACCAGGACATGGATCAGATGAGCCCCGCTCATGAAGACAAACCCATGACATTTGAGAACTGCGGGTTTTGTCCTCCAGGTTTCCACTTGCGTCGGAGCCAGAGCACTTCCACCTCTCCGACCTCCCTCAAGTTCCCACTTGGCACTAACATAGGAGAAAACAACAACTTTGAGGAAGATTACGAGATCTTCATGTTTGTAAAGGTAAGAGCCTGAGTGCTTCTAAGACCCCCGGTCAACCCATGTATCCTTCACGTCACTAACTCACAAGGCACAGAAAGAGAATACTTGCGTGGAGGTGCTTGGATTTCTTCCAGCTCAAGTGAGAGGACAAAATGCTGAAGGTGTTGTGGTTGTTGCCATAATTCTTTTATTCTCCTACTTGACCTGGCTTAGTTAGGCTGGTTCAGTTTTTGCCACATTTCATTACCCAGTGGTGCAAATGCGACTGTTATTAACGCTATAGAGAAAATGGCATCTATAGTTCAAATGATGGCAACAAAATTTCTTCATATGCTCATCTCTGACAGAGATCTTCCTTTTAGTGCTTTCAATATTTAGACAAATGTATTTTTGTGGTCCAAGAACAATTTTCAGAGCTCTCCACCTATGGCACATTCACAGATCGAGATGCAGCATGCTCCTGCTGATAGAGCCATCGCTGGATGTGACTGTGGAGGTCCAGTATCCTACCGTGATACTTTCTTTTTTATTTTTAATGAAATAATGGATGTTCTTCTCTGCAAATAGTCTCATGAATGTAAAAAAGTTTATAAGTGCAATGAAGCATATGAACGGCATATCGAGGTGTAAGACATGTCCTCCTGTTTTCAGTCTTATCTGGGTTATCTCTAATGCTGATATCTCTAATCTCTGATGATTTTAGGACTTCGAAAACATTCAGAGATGCAGATTCAGCACTTATACTGATCATTCTGTGCCAGTGTTCCCAGTACTGGAGATATGGGGGTGCTGGGGAGAGTACTGGGGAGGAACATGGAGGGCCTGGAGCAGCTCTGCTGGGAGGGGGCACAGAGTGGAGCCCAAGGCACAGGGAGGGAGGAGTTGAGGGGGTCCTCACTGGGGATCTCCCACAGCCCCTGGCTGCGGTGCTGGGCACTGGGATTAGATGGACCCAGAGGTCCCTTCCAACCTCAACCCTTCTGTGATGATGTGAATGCTTAATTTTTTTGCAGGGGAAAATATTTGCCTTTGTTAGAATTCCCTTGTTCTCCGTCATGCTATTTTTCTTTTTTAATAAATGGGTTACCATGTATTAGAAAACATAACAAATTTCCTCCATTTTTTTTCTTTCCTAAGCAAAAGAAGTGCAATTCCTTCAGCCTGTCTTCAAGTTATGACTTGTAGGCTTGGAGTGATTTGGTGTGCTGTGGGCTTTTTGATTTGTTTTTTGACCTCTTCCAGACCCTCTCCTGTGCTCCTATGCATTTCTTCTGTTCTGGTTTTCAGGTATAGGCAACGTATTTGGCAGCGTCAAAAAAAGTAGTGCAGAAAGTGCTTCTTTAACCTATCATTTACCCAAGCCTCTAGCCAGGATGCTTTATGTGCTATATCTTAGCATATTTCTTGGTCCTCTAACACGTAGGATTACCAAGAGATTTACATGCTTGCTTCTTTTCTGCATATTTTCCTCTTTTTTTGACTCACTCATAGGTGTTCAAAAATAGAGGTTGTCATCCCTGCCCATGTTATTCTTTCCAGCCATTTTGGTTCCTTTTGTTACACATGAGAAGACTGATTTTAGATTGATTACTGTTGTATTCAGACTATCCCTGACGTCTGTGTAGCAGCACTGCCAGCCGTGGAATGACTTCTGCCCAAGATGGAGGGATTTGTATTATTTGCAATTGTTTATTTCAGAAGAAATCCCTAAAAACTGGCTCTGCAGAGACCAGTGTTTTCAAATGATGAAGCAACATGCAGTCCCTGCAGAGCAGCTGGTGATGATAAGTGTAAATTATTTTGGTAACTACGAGAAGAAAGCTGCTTTTCCTCTTTGCTCCTTGTTTTCTTCATAGACAGAGGGCTGGGTTGGGCTCTAGCTGACTTCAGGTGTCTATAAGCTACTGACTGCTAAGCTCCTTTTGCAACAGAAAGAAATGGAGCAGTGGGGTGTCCACCTGTGTGAGCAGGTGTAGGCACGAGCTGCAGGATATGGTTGGATGTTCCATAGGCCCCACTGGTTGTGTTGGGCAGCAATCTCATCAGGCTTTCCAACCACAGGTTGAGGTGCCTTATGGTTTCCTTCCTGACCTCCAGCTTCCTGTGCAAAAGGCCACGGATCTCCTGGGCATCCTCTCCCATATCTCTTTATGGATTTCTCAGCTACCCTGGGGCCTCTCTTGTGGCTCTGGATATCTAGACTCAGGCCCCCAAACCAAGCCATAAACCTTCCCTGCATACAGTGGGTGGTCACTGGAATCAAGGAGGCTGGATGCCACCGGCAGCAGCTTAAACACAAAGCATGGATGACAAATTAGAAGTACCCCTAGGTGAGATATTTGTCATCCTTGTCAGCCTGGAAACAAGCTCCAGGCTGATTTCTTCAGGCTACTTCATTTCTCACTTCTTGCAGTGACTGCACTCAGCAGCAGCTGAAGTACAGCAGTGAGCAGATTTGGGATGTTGGGCAGCTCAGCCAGAGAGCAGAGAAGAGCTCACAGCCAGCACTAAGAACCAGCACTCTTCTTTTTAACTCTAGGCAACTCATCCTTTTTTTTTTTTTATTAACAGCAACCTCCATGTATGTTTGTTTCATACTTTCCATCCTACTCGAGTAGAAAAGAAAAGCCAGCTGAATTTACTACAAACCTATATGGAACTACCTTCTGTGGGAAAAAAATTAGGAGGAAGTATATCACTCCAGTGTGAGTCATTGACACGTTATCTGGTTTTGATAGCTGAACCTATGGGTGAACTTTTTCATATCAGAAGTGATACAACTGTTGTTGATGTTTTACTGCTGGTACATCTCTGATAGTGTTGCTAAGCACTGGTGACCTTGATGAAGATGGTATGATACAATTAGAAACAGATAAGAAGGAAATTGGTCTAGGTTCAGTACAGGCAAGCAGAATCCAAAAGCAGAATATCCATTGAGGAGTTAATTGGGTGTCTGTTGCAGCTTCCATGCAGCCACATCCAAGTAACCTACACGTGTTGAGGAAGTAAACCTCCAGAGCAAGTCTTCCAAGAAAAGACTACTACTTCCCTGATTATATGTATGTACAATTGAGGCACAGAAAGGTGAAAATCTGCATGTTCACCAAGAGGATTTGTATTGGCTCCTGGTAACCGAAGGGAAGCTCATGGATCTAGGGGAGACCTTCTGGGGGCATGAAATTGCATCCTTGGCTGTCACTGCCAGCCTCACCATGTCAGATATAACTCATACACAGAACAGGGTCCATCTGTGCTGCTGCTTGGGTTGGAAGGCTTTTCAGAGCGACACTGCTCTGTGGTTTGACATCCTAACCTAATTTCCAAATGATACTTCTTTGTGTGCAGCTCATATGTCCTTGTTCTTGTGCCAGCGTGCCCTGCTAGCATTCCTTCCTTCAGTCAGCACTTTTGGGTCAGTTTAGGCTCAGTCCTTCTGAGGTGGTTTTGGGCTAACTAAGCAAATCCATTCTGCACACGTTCTTTGCAGGAAGGTGCCACTTCTCACAGCTGCATCCTGTGCCCCATTGCTTCTGCTTCTGTGGGCAGACTAAACAAGAAGCAAGAAAGGGTTCTTTTAATAACTTCCTTAAGATTCCTACCATCATTTAAGTAAACACATCATTCTGTTTGAAATGAAATGTTCCCATGTAAACACAGAGTAGAATTAGTCAGAAATCCATTAATTTCTTGGTTCCTTGCACCAGTTTTCACTTATCCTGGCACCTGTTTTCCTTTCAGAAACAATACTTTTTTCCCTAAGATCTTTATAATGGTTCCTCATCGGCCTGCAGAGGGCCTAACACTCTCAGAAATGTGGTTTGAATTTTGGGTGGTGCAGTGCAGAACCAGGACTCAGTGTTCCTCGTGGGTCCCTTCCAGCTAAGGACACTGTCATTCTGTGACTCTAATTTCCACCATCCTGTTGTGTACTCACTGGTCCTGAGCTTTGACTTTCTCAAGTCCAAGGGGCTTCTATCTGGATCCCTAAGTGGAATTTAGATACAGTTGTTCCCTTATCTGTATGATTGCACTCAGGTTGATCTTCGCTCTGCACACGGGCGCTTACAGCTGTCTCCCTGTAGCTTAGGGATTGCTTGGGAAGAAAACAGCAGCGGAATCGTACCTGTGAATATCTGCGCATTTCATCTCTGTCCACCCACACTGATGCCATTCTGGGATTTTTTAAAAAAGGATTTGGTTCCAAAACCTGGCCACCAGGGGAGCACTGATCTGTGGCCCACAGAATGGATCAGTTCTACTCCATTATCCTTATCTGTAGCTCTGATACTTTGGGTGCCCCTCCCTGCATGAAGGTCTTTGTTGGCCAGAATGGCACGTGGCTGGTCTCAACCATGCTGCCAGCTCCTTGTTAAACAAGAATAGCAGGTGAAATCATTTAAACTTAAAAAGGTCTTGTTTTTCTTCTTAATTTTAACATCTGTTAGCAGGAGCCTTTCCAGATAAGCTCTGGAGAAAACAGTTTGAGAACTTATGCTGCAACTGTGAGAAGTATTGAACCTCACCAGTGTGGACAGGATATTATTTAAGATACTTTGACATGTACACTATGTGTGTGGTTTGGAGATTGCTTCGATTTGGGGATTCATCCATATAAAATTATGGAAGTGTGTTCTTAATGATTCTATCAGATAGAAAATTGCTTCAGTGCCGATCTCAACTGCTTACTGTCCCTGTTGTTTCCATGTTGAGGCAGAAGATGAAGATGTACTGAGGGACGTGCTTTGCTGGGAAACATTGGTGATGGGTGGATGGTTGGACTGGATGATCTTGGAGGTGTTTCCAACCTTGGTGATTTTGTGATTCTGTGATTGTCCTTTGGGCACAGAAGGCAGGTGCTAGCCCTGGGGCACAGCACAGCTTCCTAGGGAAGCTGCCCACTCTTAGGTTTAATGGTGTTGGAGACATACCAGGCATACCACAGAGTCAGAACGTGTTTTTCCTTGTCCCTCACAAGTGGGTGTGCTGGTGTTGGGTTGGTGGTTGGACTGGATCGTCTCAGT